GCTTTTACAGAAACAGAAGTATCTAAACTGACACTCAGAATTACATGCATTTCACCACAGGCTCAAGATTTGCTGTAAAGTACGTCTCTGCTGTAATTGACCAAAACTCTTATAGATTTATCTGCCACCATTCTATAGGGGAGAAAGTCTGTTTACACAAGGATGATAATTATCACTAGCTTCATCTACATTCTGTCAATGCCAAGGCATGCTAAGCAGTAACCAAATCCTTTGACAGCCCGTGCAGCAAAGCACCTAACACGTTAACCCCAAAATCCCCAAATGCATGCCAAGATTTATGTATATTTTAGACATTTGCCACATACAATTAAGTGCACCCATCTGGACATCTCTTTAGTAAAACAAATATGTATTGTGTATGTGCACAATCTATTAATCTCCTTGTGACCCACAGGAACAGGAGGAACATGAAGGAGGGTGAAAGAGGAGAACTTCTTCAGGACCAGCTTTCCACAGGTGGTGAGCAGATACGAGCAGGGTGCAAGATTTTATTTATTTTATATATATATATATAAACATGCACATCAGGGCAGCAGTGATAATCCCCTGATCAACAGTCCATACAGCAGAATTTTCCAAAGTGAGTTCTGATTTCCAGACATTGAATATTCTTCACTTTCAAAATTAGGAAGAGGAAAGTAAGGAATGGTTCAGCTACTTACTATTTTTTAAAATTTAATTTTTTAAAATTTAATTCTTGTAATTCCTGGAATATCAAAACTAATTCCAAGATTAAGGACCTTTAACTACCAGCAAGAAAATTGTAACACAAGGGGTTTATTATGTATGTACTTAACTTACTGTTTATTGTCTATGTGCTGATGCAATGTATATGTTTGTTATCAGGACAGTATGGGCTGTAGCACTAAAATAAACCAGCCTGCAGTAAATACACCCTTTAGGTTTCACAAATATTGCCAGCAGGTACCCTGGCACTTTGTTTGCCTGCATTTACTTCTCTGTTTTGTAAATACAAATATTTGGTTAAGGCATCTGCTCAGTCAAGAGCTGTGACTGCTGATCCAGGTAGAAGTTTTCAGACCTGTGCACAGTAGAATCCCTTCTAAATGACTGCAGATACAATTCCTCATCAGGTGGGTAATTCTTTACACATTTATGATGAGTCAGTCATTGAACCAGCACTAAGGTTAGAATACTGTACTGTACTTGAAAATGAGACCCATGACTTGTTTTGAATTGAATATAATAAAAGAAAATGCAGAAAATATAAGATTACTTTTAGGTTCTGATTATTATTATAAACACTTGGATCTGTTTGGAAAACAAATACAATGTTTTGCAATTAGACCTTGACCTATAAAAGCACTTGAGCAACTGTGTAACAGAGCATATGAGTAGTCACTTCAATGAAATTACTACCTTTATACATGAATTATCAGCTCATTTTAAATTATTTTCTGGATGAAAGCCTCTCTTTTACAATTAGAACAGCAGAGTTACAATGATCTAGCAACTCCAGTCTGGAGAAAAATAAGAGACCAAAGGTAACTGCATCATAAAGATATTCCTGGAGAGGAAGGAGAATAAATGATGCCTGGAAGAAGTGTCCATATAACTGCAAGACAAGTATAATTTTCTGTTCAACATTTTTTTTTAACCTAGAAGATAAAAATAAATTTAATTTCAAACCTTCTAAGAAAACTCTCCATTGCTTTGGCTTGTTTAGGGCCTGAAGATGTTAATGCTCCAAGAACTTGGACAAAACCCACTATTTAAAATACCACTTCTGGTTTTTAACTGAGGTAAACAGAATGCATTCTAAATCTCCAGTGTAGGCTATTGAAGTGTCACAGCAGCTCGTTCAAAGCAATACATTCACTTCTCAAAGATTTTCGTATTATAATCGAAAATTCTCTCCCTCCGATGCACCTGAGAAGCATTAACTTCTTGGTGACTTTAAGAACCAAATCCTTTAATACAAACCTAGCTTTTCCCACAGGCACTTGAAAATATTTAGCATTTTTTCAGTTGGATGCAATTTTCATAATAAAGTAGCTCACTTGGCTACCTGACACCACAGACAAAGACGCCGAGTGAGCAGCTCCTGCCAACTCAGAGCATGATCGCAGCCCTCAGTCACATATTAAGTAGGCTTTGAGACATCCAATTGCTGTAACAATGCAAGCAACTTATGTATTATATATTAGTGTTATATATTTTTTCATTACTCATAACCCATGTATTTTCTTCTGTAATGTCCAGGCACAAGTCTTTCACACCCCATGTCTTTCAGTCAGCCTTAGCAGAGCAGACAATAGTTCTTATATTTATCTAACATTTATATTCCACTTCTCTGACCAGTTTTAGGTTACCAAAGCAGCCCTTTGGTATTCTGAATGCCTCTGGTCCATCCCTGTGGATGTTGCTCCATACATTTGTTTAAATTTCACTGGCAAGCCTCACAGAAATGTGTGGGAATGACAAATATTTTTTTCTGTGACAAAATGCTCAGCCCCCATCTATCAAATCAGAAATGTTCATAGTTAACTGCATTTCTGGCAGTTTCAAGGGTACAATTGTAAAACTACAGTATATTTTGTCAAATCAAACCCTACAATGATCCTGGTTTACTTCCATCCACTTAGCCTATTAATGCAGGCTAACACTGCATGTTCTTGTGGCAGCAAACCCTAAAGTGTACCAGGAGACTCCAGTGATAGATTACATGTACATGCTGTGTCATATCCAATTAACTCAAATTGACTGTGTACTGCATTATGCTGTTAGTGCATGGAAGATCAATAAATATGGAGAAAATCCAACGAGGCGCTCTCCATTCCCATCCAATTCTAGTAGGTCTGAGACAGATCATGCTCCTATGATGTGCGTGCTGCTGCTGAAGAGGGCAGGTGGTGCATAGACACCATTCAAACTTGGCCTATTCAATCTAAACTCCTCTAACTCGCCATTCATGCATAGCAAAACACCATCTGGTCCTATTTTGCCTCCAGCAATCACAGCTGACCAAAAACGATAATAACAGCTGTTGCAAAACAAAAGCCAAACAAAGGGGGGAGGGAAAGGTTAGAATGCAGTCCAGTGCTGCAAAATACTCCATGAAGTGAGAAATGAAAAAGGAGCCATTCAAATAGGAATCCCCATTGAAAAGAGTCAGTGCAAGACTTGTGGTTAAACTTGAGATATTTAATCCATCTGTCCTACAAACCACAATGGTCAGGTGATAATATAAAATTGAGATTATGTTGCACAGAGGTATTTAAAGGCTTTGTTCTCCAAGTTAGAAACTAATGACCCTGTGTCAGCTAAAAATTAAACCTCCTTATGTTCTTTCATCATGTGTCAACCTGGGTTAATGTGAAAGTAGAATGTGGTTAACCGAGGTGATAAAGCATCTGAAACCTTGGGAAAAGAAGGGAGCAGTTAAGTGCTTGTAAATGCTACGAAGGAAAACATTCTTAAAAACCATGCATGACGCTGAAACCATACAGATTATTGCATTTTTCTTGTATAAATTGCATATCAAGCGATTTAAACTAACAGTTTTATTTATGACCTATGATAGCACAGTTATTCACTTAGATTTAGGGAACATGAACACAAACTTGCACAGTTTGAAACACAAGATGTTCTGCAATATGCTATTGTGGGTAATGCAAAATATAATTTTGTGGCAAGCAGGGAGATGCTCCAGTTTTTCAAGATTCAAATTTTGATATTTAAAATGTACGGTCCTGCTTGATGATTAATTTCCTTTTTTTTCTTTTTTTTTTTAGCTGCAGTAATTAAAACTATTTTTCCTGGAATTGAACATCAGTAGTTCAGCAGCTCTTAATCAAATGTGATAAAACCCAGGATTTATGAAACCATTTAATGAGTGTAATAACACCTGCTTCTCGCTGCAAATAGTTGAAAACAGACTTCAGTTGTAATTAACTCTTATCACTTGTGACATTTTTCCAACGATACTTCATAGGTCTTCAAAATGACAATTATAGAACTAATACACAATTACTGTCACATGCAGTTTAGCAATTATTTCTGAAGACATTTGTCTAAAGGTTTCAAAAACGACCATAAAATGGTTTCCTTTGTTACGTAACATTGGTTAAAACTGACACACACGAAATCTCTCCCAAACAGCCTCTGTTGTGCCATTTCTAATGCAGACAGGCTTCCTTGCACTTGGAATAAACACCCTCCATCCCAGGCATTATTAGATATCATGCTAAGGCTATTAGGAGCATGGGTAGCTGTCAACTAACACCTATTATGAAAAGCCTCAATTTATATATGATTTTTTCTGCTCCAAGAAATCTATAAATTTATAATTAGAATCTCTTGCTGTTCAATATTTGTACATAATAAGCAGAGTACCTGACGATGATGAAATATTGAAAGATGAATTCATTATGAAGAAACTCACATGCTGTAGTACCTCTTCCCTCAAGTCTGGCTGCAACTTTTTGGCGATCTCTACTCCATTATTTTTGGGTTGTGCTCTGAGCATGGTAGCCATGCCTCAAACAGGATTATGATTCTGCTCAGGCTTGACACTTGCTGTTTTTAATTTTCATTTTATCATAAGCAGTTTAAGATTGTTGCCAGTGGTAATTTGCAATTTTTATCAAGACCTCTTCATTATAGCTTCTGACAGGACAGATGCTGTAATTAATCATGCCAGACAACTGGGGATAGTGGTCAGGCTGCACTCACAGCACAGATACTGCAGGAGAAGGAGGGAAACAAGAAAATAGAGGCTCTCTCCTTTCTGTTCAGAGCAAAAATATAGGAACAGCACTAATAACCTGACAACACACTGGATGTTAATGTTTCCAAACCCTTCATATGAAAGACCTGCCCCCTCCATCCTCCCCACTCCATCACACTCTACCTTAACGAGAACATAAAAGTCAGACAGCTCAGGAGCAGCCCAAGGCAGGAGCTGGAGGCTTACAGAGGGAAGCCCACAGCTGAGTTTACACCCAGAACTCTCGGATACAAAACCAATTTGTGCTGATTTCCATCTCTAAACATCACAGCTGAGAGACAGGTTCACCTCCCTGTTCCTGCAGCTCATCAGCACGGGTACCATCGCTGTTGTGTGACCCCAGCACTTGCTTTCTCTCTCTGGAGTCACAGACACCTCAGAGCAGCTGCCCACAGCTCTGCAGCAGAGCATCTTGGAGGGCACAAGAGCCAAGTTCCCATTGGTACCTGTTCACCCAGAATGTCTGATAAAAATCCAAAGAAGTTTAAAAATGTCCAAGAAATCATTTGCAGAAGGAAATATTTCTGGCTTCTCTATCAAAGACTTACAGCTCATCAGTTTTACCGAAATGTGTTTATTCTATAGCAAGATAAAAGCATTTATTTTAGATAAGCAAAATACAAACAACTTAATTGCTGCTATCATAACTCATAAAAAAGTATAAAACAGCATAAAAACACAATAAGCAATGTAGCAATTAATAATTCATGTTACCAGTGTTTACATTAAAGCCTCATTTATGAAAACTTTACAACACATGATATGAAAACTTACAACTTTTAAAGAAAATATTTACATTGATTATTCAGTTGTGGAGTTTCATTTAAATATTCTACTGGTTTTACAGCGTATTAATAACTTGCATTTCTCATCTTAGCTTTCTGTAATAACAGTTTTATTTAAGTGCATTTCCCTTTTAAAAATACAGTGTATTAAATCTGAAACTCATCACTTTGACACAGAATATAATATTCACATTTGTTCTGTAATTGGAATTAACGTAAGAGGGTAAATGTCAATATATATTTTCTTATGAACTATGGCAGGTTTATTTAGAGAAATGAAGTGAAAAGTTGGGTCAAACATTTACGTCCAGTTACTTGCATTTGTTTTTCTGAACAGGTTTAGGAGAGAAAAAGAAAAAAAAATAAGAGCTTTGGCAAAAATCTGTGATTTACTCTATTTTTTCATGACAAAAAATGCCATCAACTAACTCATGTCATACAAGCATGATTGTATGAAATCCAATCATAATTTTACAGGTAGTTACAACTGTGCTTTAAGGGCTTCATGAGTTCATACTGCCTTGAAGTGCATTACTCACTTTTAGAGAAAGAAGGGCTATAGCATATAACTCTGAAAGGCCATTTTGCAGTCATAAGGTCCAGGTATTTTTTTTTAGGCCAGTTGATTCACATATTGTAGGTAAAGCTTAAATAAATTAAAAAGGCATCACATGAAAAAGAGAACAGCATTTTTTCTTTTAAACAAAATGATTTATAGTCAGCTAAAAGATGATACACAGCTACATTGTAGTTCTTTATTGCCTATCTAATAGACACTTTAGAGGATCATTTGATCTGTTATGCATCCCTGCATAACTACCATCAACAATTTACAGTTTTCAGCCAAATATGGTTTACCCCTACCCCTCCATCAACACAAAGCCATGTTGCAAGATCTTTTATCTTCAGAAAATACTAACCTGTGACAATACTTGAGTCTGTGTCTGAGATTGTATTTGTGACTGGTGCTGCTGAGGTGCTGGCTGAGGGCTCCCAATGGCAGGGATGGGAGAAGTGATCTGCGGGGCTCCTGGGGAATGCTGCTGAGGAGAAGGCTGGGACTGGTGCTGCATGTGCTGCATTTGCTGCTGCTGCATTTGCTGAAGCTGTATGTGCTGCAGTTGCTGTTGCATCTGCTGTTGATTCATTTGCTGCTGGAGATGCTGCTGCTGCTGCTGCAAATGTTGCTGCATGTGGTGCTGAAAATGCTGCTGCTGCATTTGCTGCTGTATTTGCTGATGCATTTGATGCTGATGTAGCTGCTGCTGCTGCATCTGCTGCATCTGTTGCTGCTGGAGCTGCTGCATCTGGTGCTGCTGGCTTTGCATGGAGGGGCTGAGCTGAGACGAGGACGGCGTTGCCACCATATTGGAGCCCATGGAGCTTATCAATGGAGCTGCAATGTTTGTTGGCATGTTGGGGGCAATGGTGACAGAAGCTACAATCTGATTCATTGGCAGTCTCATGGTCAGGGGTTTTGGAGCAATGGCTCTGGAAAGGGGCTGTTGAAGAGTTTGGGGCGATGCCGACACCGTGGCGTGCTGAGAAAGGGAACTATTCAGAATGAGGGAGGAAGACAAATTTGTGGATGCCAGTGTTTGCTGAACAGAACGAATTGTCTGGGCCTCAGCAGATTCTGCAGCAGCCTGTGTTTGGAAGAGAAATTAATTGTCTTTTCAACAGAAAAAAAAAATTGTTACTGTTTACATGGTAATAAAAGTAACAGCTACTCAGAGACCTTTGCCATCTTTTGTTTTCTATCAGAAAAGATCAATCTGCGGTCTGAAAACAACCACTGATCAGCAGTACATTGCATCACCTCTCTATCTGCCTCCCTATATGGTACCTCCAGGTCTTACTTGGACAAAAACTAACTCGTGCCCTTGATCAACACCAGAAAGTCAGAGATGTCACACACATTTTGTCACTGAAAGAGCTAGAACAGGCCCAATATATTTAAATTATTTTAAAAAACCCTGCTCTTTGGGAGGCAGCAGCACACACACTCCCCACCACATGAGTTACCAACCAATGAGCAATTAACTGACACTCTTTAGACATTTACCTGTAATAAATTGTGCTGCACAAGTCTCTCTCCCCTCCCTATCCTGAAACATCTCACATGAAAAAGCTACAGCAAGGATGTCTTAATTTAGAGGAGATGAGATACCATGACTTTGAGTGTCATTTCCACCTGCCATCTACCCAGAAGTTACTTGGTAGTCCTGGTCCCATGGATTTGGGGAAAAAATACGATTCCTGATTTTTCTGAAAAGGAAACTTAAGATTCACAAAATAATATCTCTCAAGCGTATTTAGAATTCCTGCTGATCTTGAACTTAGCATTGTGATACTAAAGGCTTTTAGAATATTATCTAAGTCCCAGAGGGAATAGAAAAATGCAGCTTCTTAATACAAGAAGAATAAATCTTCCAACTTTCAAAAACACATGTATAATTTCTGATGTTGTATTTTTAATCAATAATTAAAATACACAGCAACTTTCCATATGATTTACTAATGTTTTGCAGTTGTACATTCAAATAAATATTCTCAGGAGTTAAGACATCATCACCCACTGTTTTACCCATATTTTAGATATCTATAAGCACATTTCCATTTATGATATTCAGATGCAACAGAACTGCAACCTGTATAGTGCTGCTGTCTAGAAAGGTAAATTCTCAAGTAAGACAGCAGAGCTTTGTTTTCTTCACAGGTTTTACTTTAACTCAGGATCCACTAAAATACTCATTGTGGCTCACTGCCAGCTAGTCCATTTTTTAGTACTCTCCAAATTCAGAGCCACCTAACATGTCTTTCCCCTCATCTGCAAAAATACTTAAGCTTTGTCACACAACAACTGCTCTCCAACTCCACGCAGAGCAAGCCTGTCCTTTGAGAAGCAGCACTTGAGGAAAAACAAACCTCTGCAAACAGCTTGCAAATATTAATGTCAAAAGGTCAGTATATTTTTCATGACTGAATTTTATTTTTGTGGTGAAGTGCCTCCACAGCTCAGGGAAGATGCACAATTACAAAGATAGTTTCTGGTAATCATTAGTATGCCAGGAGAGAGATGAAATTATTTTTGCAGAGTCTAAGCAGGGTTCAAGCAGCAGCACAACATCTTGTAGAGCTGTATTACAGAAATGCCATGATTCTGCTTATATTGTGCATAACATCCTCCCCTTGCCCCACATATTCCAATATCATTGATAAAAGCTCACTTGCATTACATTGAAGGCAATATTAGGCTTACCTTAGAAACAAGGCTTGCTCTGTAGGCAGCAAGTGCCTTTAGGTATTCTTTTTTGGCAGCTTCAGTTTTTCTTTTATATACCTATTAAAAGAGATCACAATTTCACCAACTTCAACTATTAAGATTTTTTTTTGCCAGAATGCTCTCAAAATCACTTGCAGAGAAACAAAAAACATAGACCAAAACCCCTGAAAACACTCTATTTGAAAGTCTTAAATATTTTTGCAGGTGGTTACAGGCTTTCAGGGCTACTTGCTGGACTTGCAGTACAGTTTATGTTTATTATCAGGAATAACAAAATGCTGCTATTTGACATCAGTCTGAGCAGCAAACTGATTGACAAGACTACCTATGCACTCTTTCCTTGCCCAGAAAACAGTATTTTATTGACTCCAAGTAGCAGGGATATTAGAAAATTGGGTATTACAAATGCCAAAATGTATCAGCAGTAGGCTAGAATAGCAGAATACACCTGTGCATTTTTTTTCAAAACAAATATTTGAAGTACATATAAGGAAATCTATACACCTTTAAAAAAGGTGGATCAAAGAGCTTGGACTTGCCCCAATGCCAGCATGAGAGAATCCCAGTGAGTTGAACAAGAACTGTTAGGCAAAAATTACTAAATCTGTATTTTTAATCATTATTAAATTTAAAGTTCACCTTTAAATCATGTTCATTATCATCTGTTAGATCAGAATAAAAGTTTCTAAATGTATTTCAGAAAAAAGTACCATTCATCTCTTGCCAAAAGGGGTCCTATCTGGGAATCTGTCCTCCCCTACAAGCTTCTATTAACCGTTACTGGGAACAAACAAGGGGTATTTTTAACCCCCTTTAATCCATGTGCAGCAGTTCCATGTGTATGGGAAGAAGAATAACCCTCAAGGAAGTACAAAACTCATCACTCTGTACCCAGTTGGAGTTGGAGATAGCATTTCCCACACAACATTGTAATGAGACTCAGAGGATTGGCTTCAAAGGTTGGAAATCAACACGCTTTGTAACAAATTCATAAGGCAGATCAAAGGAAATGGTAAATATGCTGTACCTTCCTCTTTTCTAACTTATTAATAGGAAACAAGGGCTTTGAAATAGGAATCATCAAAAGATGGTTTTAAGAGGACTCTAGGACACTATAACCTGAGCTCTTTTACAAACTGCCCTTTAAAATTTAAAGACAAATACAGTCATTTAACACTACCTGTCAGCTCTCACAAAGAAAAAAACTTAAAAATTAGATGCCAGGTCTTCAGCAAGTTCAAAACTCAGTTTAGCTCTACAGAGGTGGAGTTCTACATCAGCAAGTAGCGTGGGCAACTCAGAGAAGAGGCAGGAGGATTTTTCTACAAGGATTACTATATTACTTCTTGTGAGAGAAACCTGCATCAATTTACCTGTTTTTGTTCTTCTCCTAAACTGTCCCACATAGATGCCACTATTTTTGAAACATCTCCAAATGTAGCATTGGGGTTCTGTCCTTTAATTGCAGCTTGTGTGTCCCTGAAGAAAAGGGCATATGCTGACACTGGCTTTTGGGGCTCATTGGGGTCTTTCTTTTTCTTCTTCTTTGGGGTCTTGGGCTTCTTGCCAGAATCTGGGGCAGCTCTTTTTTCTCCAGTAGCCTAAGAAACAGTAAGAACAAGAACAATCACTAAATGCACTAAATAAGTCAGATAAATTGCAAAACAATTATTTACAGTCAGTTGTAATATTATTTGGATAAAGCTGTTATCTAGGCAACACTTGGGAGAGTCCTGTTGTGCAGGCCCTTTTCTCTAGCAAAGAGTATTTAATGTCAGCATAATCTCATTGGATCTACTGGAACTAAATGCATGAGTAGTTACTACTCATTCTAAGCATGGCTCTGAGAGTCACATCGTACAAGTCTGACCAAAAAAAGGACACCAAAATGATAATTAATATTAAAAAATATTAAGATTTAGTTCATAGCATATTTCGAAGAGGTCCTCTACGTTTTTCCTTTAAGATCCAATCTCAGCAGTTGAGACTCAAAAGGCAAAAGCTTGGAGGCATTTTCCAGTTCCCAGGCTTAGACTGGCAACTTAGACATGGGCCAGGAGTTAAAAACCCCACCCTTGAGGCAAAAAGCAGCAGCAGCACCTGGGCAGTGTGTGCCCACCTGCAGAGCACTGGCTGTGATCCCCAGGGCAGGGCAGGTGCCCCTGGGGGAGCTCTGTGCTCTGGCCAGGGACCGACAGCCCCTCTCTGCTCTCTGGGATAGGGATCCAGCAGCTCTGCTCCCTGTGTGTGCTCGTGCCCTGCACCCTCCTTTGGTGAGCTATGCACAGAGTATTGCAACAAGGGGATCAAGTGGCTCTAAATATGATATCTAGTATGATACATATCTCTGTGATAGTGATTTACTTTGATATTTTGAGGACCCTGTACAATGAGCTTTCCACATGTATAACTTTCATCAACTCAATGAGAAAACCTTTCATGGAACAGTTTTTAATTAGGTTTTTCCATATACTGCTATAAGAACATTTGTTCTTCATTTGGTCAGTATTTTTTCCTTTTATAAGAGATTTATTTAAAGGAAGATATAAGTTAACTAAACTTTCAGTTGGAAGAAACCTTATTTTACTTCTCTCTATACACATCCATGTTTTACATGACTCCAGAGAATACCAAACTGAGAAAAATGTCCAAGACTGATGCCTGAAGAGATTCAACAGATCTGAAAATCTGACTCATACTGGACCTATATATATATATATATGTCTATTCTTATATATCTGTCTAGTCTTAGGTTCATTATTATGATGATAGTATGGATACTTCTTAAGTAAAAAAGGTAATCAGCAAATTAATCATATTCCACTTTACTGTAACATTTGTGATTTAAATGACCACATTGCAGCTGAGCAGATACAGCCACATCCATGAAAATCTAGCATGAGGATGTATGAGGCTTGCAGCACATGGAATAACTTACTCTGTTTGATTCATCTGCATCTTCTTCATTGATGGAGCTAGATGGGGAAGGAGTGGCTGATTTACTTGCAGGAGGGGAGGGAGAGGTGTGTGGCAAATTAGTGCCTCCTAAATTCAGCCCCAGCTGTGCGCTCAGCTGAGACTGGTTAATGGTGGTGAGCTGGGACGGAGCCATAATTCCCGAATGAGCAGCATCAGTCATGTGCACAATGGATCTCATAATCAGAGAGTGGTCCTGGCGGTACTGGGAAACCTGGCTGTGACTCTGATCCTGAAAGATATGGAAACATTGCTTAGATATTAGCAGTTACCACACAGCAGTAGCAGGTGAAGTTATTTTCACAGACTTACAGAACCAACACCGTCAACAGGCAGTTTGCTTCCTTCCTTTTTAATGAATTAAATATATTATTAATAAATTAAGTGTAGCAACAGTTACTTTAATTGCTCCAGACTTCACTTTTCCCCCCAACTGAGGCTGCTTATTTTGTTCTTTGACTAGAAATTACATTTGTCTGTTTTTAAACATTTTTTTCTCTTGTTGTAGTGAGAAATACCCACATAAACAATAGGGAAACAGGATGACTGAGCATTCAGGAAAACATTGCAAATGAGGAGACACAGACTGTTGTCAGAAAGTAAACAAAATTGGGGTGGGATGAGGGGATATATATAGAGAGAGAAAAGCATCTTCCTCTACTGAGTTTCAATTATTCTTGGCCTATACAAGTAACAGCAGTGGATACAAACCAGTCCTGTCTGGGTGGGATTTTAAATCTGTTTTAAACACAGAACACTGCCCTGTTGGTCTGGAGCGCATTCACTGCAGCAGGCTGGAGAACCAGTCCAGTAATCCTAAACACTCCTGTTGGCAAGTAGCACATAAAACTGCACATGTTTATCTTTAATCCAACAATCAAATGTGTGGAAGTAGCAAAGTTTGTACAAAATCGATGTACAAATCACTGACTTGTACTCAAGTCTCAGAAACACAAGCACTTGCATGGTTTGGTTTCTACTGTTTCTTGGGGGCACAAACTGTGTCTCCTACATCTGCACAACATTTATCACATTTGTAAATAAAAAGAAGCAAGACCCTGAAGGTAAAGTCAGCTGCAATCTGCCTATGAAAACTATGGTTTTTTTGGACCACACACAGATCAATACACAATGAAGGAACATGTAAACAGAAAAGAAGATTTTTTAAGAAGTTAATAAGAGAATAAATAGCTCACAAATTGATTCAGCAACCTGATTAATCTACAGTCGTTGTTTGAGCAGCCAGAAACATGAGAAATAAATTAGATTTTGAAAACTCTTTCATTATTAATAAGCCACATTGCAATTAGTAGCAGGTGCAATGATCCTTAATGAAATGACACAGAACAAAACAGCAATTGTGGGAGCCCACTGGACTTCCACAACAGAGTCTGACCTTCCTGGTGCTCTCTTATTAAGTATAGATAAGTAAAAACTAGTTTTGAAAAATCTGTGTCAGCACGGAGGTGAAAGTTTAGCCCAAATGACTTTCCCTTACTTTTTATAACTTTGCCCTCAACAGAGGCAGTGTTTCTGTGCTCCTGGAAGCCTGTCCTTGGCTGGGACAAGGGTGGGCATACAAAGAAGCAACACGTGTTAGAGAGGATGCACACCCTGCCTCATGGATCTTTATACACAAAATACTGCAGCTCACTGTTTCCCTGTAACAGTAAATCATATTAATTCTGAATTTGACTGTTGTGTCTCTTTCTGCTGAAGCCCATACAGTAGAAAAAAGTCCTTCTTTAGCATAAAAATGCATGTGCAGCTGGGTCCAGTAGAGATCAAGTTAACCTCACAAGCTCATGATCCAGATCCAGTGCCCCAGGGCTCACCCTCATTTTCCCCATGCTTCCCCAGCCCTTGCCAGCTTGGCTCATCATCCATACCATACCCCACCACACTGCTTTTCCTATTTCTTAAATGCTTTCAATATTTTCAGTAAAGGACTGCAGTTCCTTAGAGATGAGTGTGTGTGCCAAAAGTGGAGCACTTGATACAGAAAGATCAAAACATCAGACTTATTGGCTGAAATACCCATTTGCTTCAGGGCACCTTTCTGTGAAAATTTACTGCTGTTAACTACACGGTCATTTTGATTGTGACTTGTATTGGCAGTGGCATCTGGAAGTCATTCAAAGTCTTTTGTGAAATGATATCACTCTGCCCATTACTCCAATAATTTTACAGACATTACTTTATTGCATGAAGAAAAACTCTGCTGGCTTTCTCCAGCAAAGCTGGAGAGGATCAGAATAACCTTCTCTCAGAAAAAGTAACTTTCTTCATTATTGTGCAGCCCATACTTTCTTGGAGGTGTTCTACCCCTGAAAGCCTTGCTTTTGTTCTCCCTTTATTGCTACACAATGCAGGCCTTTCTGGCCTTTACACTCAGGCAACAAAATGTGATGACAAGGGTTACAAACCATTTACTCCAAGTCTTGTCATGTCGGTTGCATCTATGATTTTATTGAGACTAAATTCTCTTGACTTGCACTGACCCAGAATCTAATTTTATACACAAGCCCATGAATTCTTAACTGTCCCTTTTTCTGATACTATCTGATGCTTGTGTGGGTTTTCTGCATCCACTTACTTAATTTCAGTTTTTCTTTTCTGCTTCTTTTCCTGATCTCTTTAGCCTTTTTTTTTAATCTTAAGAGCTTCAGTAAAATCCAGGAATGGCAACAACAATATTTTGTAACTGGCCATTTAGAACTAAACTGATAACACATATTATGCGAAAGAAAACGTTTCATATAATATTCAATCCCTTATATTCATATGTCCATATGAAAACAAAGAACAATGTATTTTCTGCACTTTCAGTTTAACTTATATGGCTGATCAGCATTAAAAAAAGAAAGGAACAGGGTTTTCATTTTTTGCTTTGTGGTACAGTGCTGTGGCCCTGAACAACCTATGGTTCCTATACCAGAGCTTTCAGACAAAGAAGTATATAAGCCATTTTTTATGTGTGTACAGTGGTTTGGAAAGAAGGCAGGGAGGCTAGTTCATAGCAATATTAAAGTCCATGGCATTTTCCTATAGCTCCTGAGCAAACAAAAGTCTTCTAAGAAAGGAGCTAGAATCAAGAAAACAAAATTTCCATCAGTTATTTTTGCTCTTATTTTTTCTGTGATACTGCAAAGGCCAATATCAAACTGAAGGGATCAGTAGCATTTCATTATGCTTGAGATGTTAATCAGAGAAATGTTTAACAACGAAAATCATCCTGTATCAGAAGCACACATGGAAATACAAGTGCACTGAAGCACCCACATGCCATCCTAATTACATTACTGTAGGAAAACTGAAAAGCTCACCTATCCAAAAATAACCCACTGAGAATACTGGGAGAATTTTAGAGAATATCACAAGCTCTTCTACATAAACTTTACCCAAAGTAAATGTGATACACAAGTATTAAAAGCATTCAAGATCTTTGTAACATTAAGCAAAAACAAGAGATCAATTCTGACAAAAATTCATGAACTCCTCAAGCAGACAGTATCAAGTTTTGATTGAGCCTGATCTGCTTTGCAGCCTTAGATTGAAGTTAGACAAAACCTGGTGATCTCAAAACGAGTCAGGCAAAGCTCAACCCTTGCTTTACTCAGCATGATAATCAGACAAGGACATGATGTGTGGAACCAAACCAAAAGAGAAATAACTTGTCTCATTCCTCTGCAGGCTGAAATGGCTTTGACTCAGATCAATCTGTTGTCATCCTACACGAGTGCTACAAACCCCTCAGGTGCAGAGACATTTATTGAGGGCAGCACTGGGCACCTCTCTGGGCTCTCCAGTGAGAGGGCAAGGGGGACGGGCTCTAAATGGAGAACAAGGGGTTTGGATAAGGTGTTAGGGAGCAATTCTATAATGTGAGGGTGATGAAGCCTTGCACAGAGATGCGCAAGGCCAGGCAGGATGGGAGCACCTGGTCTGGTGGAAGGTCTCCTGCCCATGGCACGGGGTTGGAATGAGATGATCTTTAAGCTCCCTTCCAGCCCAAATAATTTTTATCCTTTCACAATTCTAATTATATACCTGGATTTAAAAAAAAGCAAAATATAGTCCAAAATGTTTTCACTCTCTCAAAACAGCTGTATGGTGACTGTGTAGCCAAAATCTCTTACACAGCTGTCTCCAGCCTGTTGCACACATTATAAAGACATTCAGCACTTGGTTCATAGAAGGCCTCATCAAAGGGACCATAAAGATATCTGTCCATCAAACTGCCCTACTCTCAACATTTCTAATCACTTCAGACAGTCATGCCGTGAAAGTCATATTTAGTCCTATTGCTAAAGGACACATCTCACAGCCTATGACAAAGGTACAGCTTATTTTACATTGATTTGTAAAAGAACAAGTTCTCAAACCTATATAAAATATCAATGCATCAACAGACACTAGAAAGCAAATAATGGAGTAAGGAGATTTTAAAAAAAGAAAAGAAAAAGAAAGGAATGTGTCAACTCCTATGCTTTAATTTATGCAGTTTTATCAAAGGTGTATTTCAAAGTACCATGGAGTACTAAGTGAAAAAAATATATTAATGAAGGATAGTTTGCTCTTCTGTTAGCAACTCATTAAGCATCCAGTACTTAGTATAGCTTGTAATAGAGTTAGTATTTATTTTGACAGATAAATGCATCCAGCCATTACATTGAGAGATGTCCTAATTTCCACTTACTTACCCTGCATTTTAAGAATCATTTCCATACAGTAATTCTATCCTGAATTCCTACCCTGATATAATTTTAATCTCTGGGAACATTCAACAAGACATTTAAAAATATAACTAGGATATTACTTTTCAGAACATTTTTGAGCAATACTGAAGTCTTGATTAAAATCAATGTCTACAGCCTTCCATCATTTAAATATGCAACACCTCCAGTGAGACTCTGGACATGTGAGGACTGATGAAAATGCCCCATGGAAGTGCCCACAGGAGGATGTAGGGCTGGGCTCTCACCCCACACTGCATGAGATAGTTTAAGGAAATTGAGAAATCTACCATCCAAAATAACTAAGGAATAACTAAGCAAAATCCAACATTTATGGTTATGTTCACTGCGCCCTGGTTTCAGAAGTTGACTTAAACTATTATATATTCTATTGCCTGAGGAATTCATCACTGTCAATGTAACATAAGCTGATGCAATATTTTAAAGGATGTATTTAAGTTGAAGCAAATGCACTGCAATGTAAGGAGTGAAATCC